CCACCAAAAATAGCCAGCGCCAACCAGCTAGTCCTTTTGCGCCATGGAGATTTGTGAGACCGTACGCCAGTAGCCCGCCGAATGCACCGCTTAGTGCAGATGCAACAAAGAGATACGACACCCTCCGCGCTTGCTCCAGAGGCTTGTAGTACATACTCAGGTACAACGTCAAGCACGGAAACAGGCCGGATTCGAAGGCACCGAGGAGCAGGCGGGTAGCGATGAGAGAGGCGTAGTTCTCGATGAAAGCAGCCCCTATAATGACAGCGCTCCAGCCGATGATGAATGTTGGAATTAGGCGGGATGGTCGCAGCTTCTTCAACAATATAGAGGCTGGAACCTCGAAGGCGATATAGGTGACGTAGAAGAGCGTTACGGCAACGTTGAGACGGTTCCCGCTGAGTCCCAGATCCTCGTTCATGCCTGCGATGGCAGCATTTCCTGAGCGCTATCAGCAAATGACCTTGTAAATTATTATTGCGAGATTTGTGTACCGATGTTGGACCGGTCGAGGTAGGCCACCTGAAGCACACTTGTTAGGCTCGTTGTAGTGGATGAGAGTTTGTATGCATACCAGAAACACCAAGACCATCATCGGAGATAAAATGAGGTCCAGTTTACGAATGAGCTGTTGAGATTAGTTAGCACGTGATACCCAGTTTTGCGTGCATTGCTTGTACCTTCTTCTCAGCGACTGGATCAATATGAATCTCTTCGCTAGCGCCAATTTGGGTATCCTTCTCGTGAACTGAGCCATCAAAGGTCTTATCATCCGGGGTTGGATGCGACATGGTGTCGGTGGTGTCGTCTTCCGCGGCTAGACGAGACGGAAAGCTCATGATACAGGCTTGCGATCCAAACCAGACCCATCTGCCATGACATATACCTTATACCGTTCATCTTGACCTGGGACAACATTATTGCCGATCGGTGCCTAAGGAATTGTCCGACGCGGGAAGATAGCGAGCCCTGCTAAAGTGGGCATGATACGCATGGAGGATGCGCTAGGAACATTGGCAGGCAGGCGTCCGATAGAGATACTATCGGCTAAATCCCAGCGTTATCGGGAATCATCAACATGACGGAGACGCGATACGAGGGAGAGATGGACAGAGGTGACGAAGGTCCGTCGACGAAGAAGAGGAAGAGAGGTCGACAAGCGAAGAGCTGTGTCGCGTGCCATCGGCGGAAGCAGAAAGTGCGTATGACGTAAGCAGTCGCTCCGAGCTTCGCGGCGCGATAACGCGTTGTGATGACGACCCGCCAACCCAGCCATCTTCGCAGCGCTTCTGTTATGAACGATTGCAATCATTCTACGAGCAATGCTCAATAGAGCGGATAGGTAGCTGATGGCTTACGCAGTGCGACGGAGAGCTGCCATGCTTCAACTGCAGCAGACGCGACGTTGCCTCAAGCTGCACGTACAGCGACGAGGCTGAAGCCCGTCGTCGGCAAACTTCACGTATCGCCGCTATCCCTCTGAATGACGATATATCCTCAGAGAATCCCACAGGTACGTTTGTATCGGCGCTGGCCTTTGCGTAGCAGAACGCGAGAGCCTTGTCGACACGCTCATTGCAAAGATCGGTGCTAATGTTACCGCGAAGACACACGAACCACTTCCACGCGTGCCAGAAACTCGCCCGAACCCAGAGACGCACAAGTCGGTAATCTCTTCCGCAGTCGAGATGCCCCATCCTTTTTCGGCTCATCCTATTTTGGACCACAAGCTGCAGCAAAGATAATTGAAGAGCCCGCACCAGATCTTTCCTCCGGTATACGGCATGCTGCGGCCTCGGCGCAATCTTTCCGCGATGTTGGAGGCCCTTTTTCGCAGATCTGGGATCTGCTGGGTTTGCTGCCACGCAACAAAGCCAGTGTCGATCGCCTCGTACATGTCTTTCTTGAAAAGTTGAACTGGACCATAGACGCCATCCATCCGCAGTCTTTCCAATCGAAGTATGACGAGTTCTGGGAGCGTAAATTTGGCTTCGATGATTATGCATCTATCGATCTCAGGTGGCTGGCATTGTTATTCATTGTCCTTGCGTACGGTGTTTTCCTCGACTGCCCCCATCCAAAGAATGGCGAAGTGCAACGTGAGCTTCAAGAGACATCACTACGCTTTTACTGGGCAGCAAGACGTGCTATAGTCATTGCACCAACATTCTACGGAGAGTCGACAGATCTTGTTCGTGCCGGTCTTCTGGTCACACGCTATCTGATCCATTTGCGAAGAGTACCAGAGGCTTGGCTTACGACCAGTTTTGCCATGCGTATGGCCCAAGCACAAGGCATGCATATCGATGGCGAACGTTGGCGTCTCTCGCGTAAAGAGACCGAAACCCGAAGGCGTTTGTGGAGCCATCTTTACACATTGGATAAAACTATCGCGCTTGCCATCGGTCGTCCCTTCGCCATAGTTGACCAGCAATGTCTCGTCAAGAGAGCCACCAACGTCTGGTTGGACGACCAACCGGACGAGGACACGTCCGCCATTCCAGAACTACCAATGTCTGAGCCTACTCTGAGCGTGTACAACTTTCTCGCACACGATCTGGCAAAGATTATTGGCAGCATCCAAGAGCGTTGCTTTGGTCTCTTCACCGTTTCTTACGACACCATAATTTCGCTAGATCATGATATTATCGATTGGGAGGCAAGATTACCAGATTACTATCACCTGAAAACCGCAGACACATCTATGGATGGCACGCACCCCTTCCTTTACTGGAATCGTTTGCATCTCCACTCCATGTACCACTTCGCCCGCGTCACGCTTCATCGACCGTACTTGCTACGCCAAAGTATCACGAATCGCTTCAGACATAGTCACGATGCGTGCATATCGTCGGCATGCGCTGACCTTGCCATGCGCATCGATTACTTCCAACAGCCATTGAATGACCGTCTGAAGTGGACTTTGGGTCCACACCACCTCTTCAACAGTGCTTTAGTCCTCGGAATAATTGCTGTCAAAGATCCACACTCGCCTAAATGTCGCGCGATACTAGAGGACCTCTCCGCATATTGTGAGATGCAAAGAGCTGATATCTGGCTCAATGAGTTCGCGCTAGCTGAGGTCAAAATCATTGAACTCTGCATCAAGAAAGCAAATCAGTTTCGTGCTAATCGTGCCGAAACACGTCCCAACACAGCAGACAATGCGCAACCTGCCGTGCATGGTGCCAATACCATCGACCTGACATCACCGTATACGGAAGACAGCTCGGTAACGGTGCCAGATCTGCCGGCGATAGGTGCAGGTGGGCCCTTCCAATGGCATGCGCCTCCATGGGGTGACCCATCTTTTACGACCTTGTTTGAGCCAACCGATCTACAACACTGGGAGAATGTACTGGACAACATCACACAAGAGCAGATGCTGTTCGGCTTCCAATAGCGCATCACGCTCTGTAGATACTGCCGACCCCGCCAATTGTACAACCATGGTTGTGGCATATCTCGTTGCTCTCTAAAAAGATGGTACTACTTTTCCACTTGTATGTCATGTAGCCTCGCTGTCGGTATATACTCTAAGCTTCCTCATAAGCTACGGGTGTAACCAGACTTCCCATACCATGATTCATTACAATCCTCAGATCATCTCCCGGTTTGAGCCATACCTTCGGCACCTTGCTCACACCAATTCCATGCGGCGTACCCGTCATGATCACAGTACCTGGCTCCAACGTCGTTCCTTGGCTCAGATATGCCACTATTTCTGGTATGCTGAAAATCATATCGTTCGCCAGCGAATATTGCATAGTCACGCCGTTGAGTACCGTCTTCAGCTCAATGTCGCCTGGGTTTGGTATCGAAGACGCCGATACCAAGCATGGCCCTATTGGCGCGAAGCCATCAAAGCCCTTGCCGAACCCCCATTGCGCGCCGTTGAACTGGTGAACTCGCGCTGTCACGTCATTCGAACACGTGTAGCCCAGCACGTAATCCATCGCATCTTCTTTGCTCACGTTCTTGGCTGGCTTCCCGATGACAACCGCGAGCTCGGCTTCGTAATCGGCCTGGCCATCTGTCGCCTGATGTGGAATGACTAAAGGCGCATTTGGTGCCCCTAGGCATGTCGAAGGCTTGAAGAACAGCGTCGGGTGGTTGGGAAGGTTCAAGTTCATCTCTTTGGCATGTTTCCGGTAATTCAGGCCTATACAGCGAATTGTTCCGACCTCGGCTTTTGAGAGCGGTGGCAGTAGTCTTGATATCGTGTAGGTCACTAGTGTTGGCTGGGCATCTAGGGAGAGTACCGATGACCCTGTGAAAACGCGGACTTTGACTTCTGATCCTGAAGTAAGGGCTGCGCCGACTGCAACGTATTAGCAACAGCGGGCAATAATGACAACAGATCGACGTACCATCCAACTCAGCATCAATGGGCTCGCCGATGTGCTCAGCACCGTCCTCGGTCGCGACAAACCGCACTAAACGACTCCAACTCTATGCAGCGTTAGCATTGCTCTTTGACTATTCCCATTGATTGCCTACCGTCCTCATACCACCTGCGATATCTATAGACCCCATGCTTTCAAATTTTGAGCAATCGATCGATAGAACTTTGGGGAATCGTTCAACGAGGTATTTCGTGCCTGGCTCTTGGATACTTATTCTCTTTTAAGTCGCGGCGCAACAGTTGGTCTCATTACGACGGCATGCAACTCCACTGCTTATCGATCGGGAATTGATGGAGAGGCCGACACCCCTGCTCGAGCGGGTCACTACCCCACCACTCATACGCGCGATGTCGGGTAACGTTATCTGAGACGTTCTTTCCCGGTTGACAAGCAAACCAAAGGAATAGCCATTGAGCTGCAAGCCTATTGGAGCCTTGCCACGACGGAATGACGATGCGACAACAGCACTGCAAACCTTTTCGAGACGGAAAACAGTATACAATTATTTACGATGCTTGCTAGAACGATGCTGAAATAGTCAGATGGGTACTCTTCCTCTATCCCAGGCTTTACTCCTCGGTGCCTTTTCAACCTTCAAAACTGCTTCCGCAAAGCCTTCTGCGTGTCCTTCTCTTTCTTTCTTGCCCTCGCATCCGAGTTCAGCCTTTCCTGCTGCACGTGCGGTGGACGGGCATAGGTCTGCTCGTACTGTCCACGCAGTGGCTCCATTATCGCAGGGTTGCCTACTTGGCCCATCATGCCCAAGTCCATCATCGATCGCGAGTTGAACTCGTCGATGCGACGTTCACCAGGAGGCACGTTCGCCAAGCTCGTGTCAATTGGCCCAAATTGACTGCGGCGGTTCAAGTCGACGTTGATCCGCCGAGGTGTTGGGGGTGTCACCGTCATGGAATCCGGTGATCCCATTGTTGGTCCTTGGGTCGAATTCATGCCAGGAAAATGCACTGGTTGCTGCACCCACCCAGATACCTCCTCTTGCTCGCCAAGCATACGCCTCGTCATCGGATTCCGGCTGCGAGGAGGCGGTGGTGGTCGCGATGGTGCTACACCTGCAGAAGGACTGGCCAGCTCCAAAGGTTTTGGTGGAACAGGAGGAGGCTGTTTGCGAATATCCAGCGGCTGAGGGCGCAATTCGGAAGCGCACCGGAAACTATCCATCGAGCTTCTCACTCTCGATTGACAGACACTAGGCGGAGTTACTGCATTGCCGTTCACGTCCGAAATCTGGGACACGATCGATCGATCCAGCGACATTGGCCTCGACGGTATCGTCGCTGTCAGCGGAGGTGACGTTACCGACCGCTGCAATGTAGATGGTCGAGGGGTGTCGACCTCTTCACTCTGCTGTCCGGACATTTCTGATTGCAGCAGCCTTGTGGTTTCAGGTGTGCTCAAACCCGAGTGCGTTGGATCTGCGTTCACGACGTGCAGACACTGTCTCGCAGGCCAGGGACTGGCGATAGTACCCACGTCGTCATGAGCCGGAGAACCAGGAAAACGATCAATTTCCCTCGCTTCGTTGATCATAGCATTTCCGGCTGATTTGGAAGACCTGGCAGGAAGTATCTTTCTCTTATTCTTCCAAAGGTTGCTTGTCGCTTCAGCTACACCCTTGACGTAGAACTCTGCCCCTTTCTGCTCGACAGCTTTCACGCCCTTGTTAGTCTGCCTGCTCTTATTGAAGACTTGCTTCAACAGATTCTGGGAGGACTTGGGCGCTTCGGGAAAGTTGTTGATGGTCACACTGACCGGACCGTTAAATATGTTTGTCACCGGGTCCTGCCGCAAGCCAGACGAGATCACGTCCGACGAGCTGACAGTATCGGCCGCAGTGGCTGGCGCTGGGTGCTCAGCAGCAACGGAAGTAGCGTGCTGAGATCTTGCAACAGGCTTACGCGCAACACTCCCCTGAGACGTGCGAGACGACGGCGGTCGAATGGCAGATGAAGCTTCGCTCGAATATGCAGATGACGAAACGGGTGTGAACGGACGGGGTTCTGGTCCTTCCCGAGAACTATCTCGGTCCCGATGATTCCAGAGATCGGAGAGAGTGGACTGTGGTGTTGAAACGCGCTGAGGTGGCTGCGTTTCCAGGGCTGTGAAGAATGTCCCTCCGGACGATACCGTATTCAGCCGACTCGGGACATGACTTGCTTGCGACGATGGCGGATATGCGCCAGGGAACGATTCGCTTCGCGTAGACACATTGATTCCCTGCAGATGACTATTACCCGCAGTTCGGCCCTGGAATGAGGACACTGAAGACACATTGCTGGATCCCCTGTTACCCAACGGGCGTCGAGACACGACACTTTCTTGCACAGGCGTTTCAGAAAATGCTCTCGCCACGCTGCGAGGTGCTCTACTGCTCGCATACGATGGAGGGTATGCTCCTGGAAGTAAGGGCGTCCCAGCGATCGGCCTTGAATCGAGCACCGTACTATCAGCCGCCGAACCGGCCTGGGAAGGAGACGGAGGATAAGCGCCGGGATATCGGGGAGGCGCTCCGCTAGTCTGCGACTCGTTCGGGATATCATGGGGTACCTCAAACGATTCCACTCTCCGCGCAGGGTTCTCTTCTATCGTCTGATAAGACGGTGGGCGGCCTGATGAAATTGATCGAATAGACGATCTGCTTCTATCAGAGGCTGGTGGTGTAGGAAGTGCGCCAGGTGGGTATGGAAGCCTGACATCCAGCCTGCTGTGATCCATCGTGACGATGTTAAAACGTTGGGCTTGGGCTTCTGCCACTGATCGAAGACTTGCTGGCCGCGATGCAGATGCCTCTGAGATCGGCGTTAAAGGCCGATAGAGTACGTTCGGATTGTCAATGACCTCCCGAGCATCGGCCACACTCCTTTGTTCCTGCTCAGTCACCGGACCCGGAGGATAGGATGCCATGGCTCCCAACACTGGGCGGTCTTCTGGAGACTGGGTAGCCGATGGCTCGTTCGATGGTGCAGAGGTCCGTCCGTGCTCGTTCACCGAGCGCAGCATATCCTCCCGAAGTTGCCCGACGTGTGCAACTTCACGAGAATGCTCTTCATTCTTGCTTTGGCTTATCGCTATCAGCAACTGCTCGTCTTCGCTCAGGCCGCGTACAGCGTATGCTTCCTGAAGGCGTGCAGACTCTTGTTCATGTTGCCGCTGCTCAGTCTCGGCAGCCACCTTGCTCTCGACGATGGCCTGATCCAAGGTCTCTTGGTGTAATCGCGCAGTTTGAGCCCGAGCTCGCTCATCCTTCAAAGACAGTAGCTCAGCTTTCCGGGTAGCCTCACGCTCTTGATCGGCAGCTAGTGCTTCACGCCCCGACTGCCTTTGAGCTTCGAGAAGGCGTTGTTGGTCCGCCTCTGCGTCTGCATTGCGTCTCCGATCCGCCTCTTCTGCCTCTACCTGGCTGATGGATAGCGCAACAAAAGTGTGCTCGCGTTCTTGATCGGCAGCTCGTGCTTCGAGCTCCGACTGCCTTTGAGCCTCGAGAAGGCGTTGTTGATCCGCCTCCGCGTCTGCATTGCGTCTCTGGGCCGCCGCTTCTGCTTCTATCCGGCTGATGTCGAGCGCAACAAGAATCTCCTCGTCCTCCGCCTCGGATTGTCTTGTGACCCTAGCGCTCGTTGGACGCGGTGGTACCCCGATTCCCGCGGAAGCCCGACTTGCTTCAAGGGCACGATTCAGATCTTGTTCTTCCCTCATCTGAACATCGGCCGCGACCCAGACCATGTCTTCCGGACCGTGTTCTTCGTTCAAGTTGGACATTTCGACGGTCGGAGTTTGGCCTTGTGGTCGCGCGATGCGGGCAGAGTCCGTCGGGTCGGCGCAGTCTTTTAGGCGCTTGTCGGAAGATGTGAGGGCGGGGCGGTTTACGAGGAGAGCGGTAGTCGCGGTACAGCCGGTGAAACCAAGACTTTGAGAGCGCTGGTGGGTGTAAGGGTGGAGGGGAGCCAAGGTGCTTGAGTGTAAGAGACGGGCTATTTATCAGTAGACGAAGCACCCTCTGGGTGCCCGTGCTCACTTGCATCTCCTGAACGGGCCCATGGCGAGATGATATAATTTTCGCAACGTCATAGCACCTCTGGAAAGCCTGCAATGACAGACGCTGGCCATGTGTGGTCATAGCATTTTCCGGGCAGTGAGGCAGGGAGCTCACTTGGCGTGAAGACCACTGGAAGAACCCCGAACATCGTAACCGATAAGTGATTTGAAATCTTGGACTACCATATACTGTTGTATTGTATATACTGACGAAGAGGGTGGACCGACTCAACCGTTGATGCGAGGTCGTAGCGTCAACATATAGCATACGAAACATCACTTTCCCCGCCCAAGAGGTTTGTGTGTCGACACATTCGTTGCTGTTTGATGCGCGCTTGTATTTGGTGTTTGGCGTAGGACTCTTTCCGCTGAGGCCGTTGCTTTGTTTACGCGACCACTCCTTGTCCTCAGTCGCTAGTGTTTAATCGCTCTCAAACTTGGTATTTGTCGCAATTGGACTGGGTTAGATGTCCAGAAGCAGTCCACCAGCTATAATCCACATCCTGTAGTCAACACGTCCACGACTTGCTTTCGGAACTCAATCATGCCTTCGACTGGATCTTCATAGTGCCAAGTAAGACACTTTGACACGACTTGCGCGTAAGCCTTTCCCATCTCTCTCTCGATTTCGGTACTGTTGGCCCAATCTAGTATCGCATTGTGTATACGATTAAAGAGATCCTGCTGCTGTACTATGCCGAAGATCGGGAACTTCTCTATGCGGCGGGCGAAGACTTTCGCCATCGTCCGCCATAGTCCAAGCTCTAGAAGAACCACGCCCAGTGAGTAGATCTCGTGCTCGTTGGAATATTCTGAAGATGGTCGGCCAAAACGGTCATGGTGGCGGTACAGGTTCGGCTCCAACGGGAAGTGCGTAGCCTCGAGGGGTTGGAGGACACCCCAGCCAACAAAGAAGGGAGACAACTCAAGATCGTTAAACGATCTTGGCAGCATTACGATACTGCGCGACTGTACGTTCCCGTGAACCCAGCCGGAGGCATGCGACTCGAGTAGTGTGCTTGTCAGCGCTCTTGCGATGAGAAAGCGACTTCCTATTGAGGGTCTCGCGGTCGGACCCTTCGAGATCATGTCATACAAAGACGGTGGGTTTGATGCCCAAGGATGGCTTTGCGGAGCGCGGTAGACGATCAGACTCCTTCTGTTGAGTGGATCATCGATGAAACCCATACAGCTTAATGTATGCAGCTGGTAGCCGTTCTGGGCGTCGCTCTTGACGGATACGTCAGTCTGATGAGGAGCCTGTAACAACCACGTCAAATGACACATGTACTCAGCAGGCGTCTCGTCGTCCGATCGCGTTTCAACAAGAACGTCGACTTCATCTCCACCGTCATCGTATATCGTCTTGATAAGGCCGTGCGATGGCTGCCCAGTGCTGATCGTTTCTCTGAGCGCGCCAACGAGCGCAGTATAGTCGCCCGAAGGTTCTGCACCTGCTCGATGCTGGCGTTCGAGTTGTTCTGCCACGCCAAGGATAGCCGCCTGCCTAGAATTACCGAATCCTGGATCCGGAGGTCCGATGCCAAGGAAGACAATTTCCAGAGTTTGACGAAGCCGATGTGTCCATTGCAAGCAATTCAAGGTGAGTGTGGCCATCTCCTCTTCTCCGAACAATGCTTTGTATAGCCCTGGCCGCGCCTTTTCTCGCCAGAGTTGCGAGCGTTCTTTCATTTCGTCTCTCCAGCTCTTCTTTTCATGCTGAACATCTAGTGACGCGGCGCGACCGCGCTTCAGATCCTCAATGCTTCTTTGCCCCGCACCAGGGGTGGGACTCTTGCCGATGTACCTCCACGCCTCCCGGTGCGCGGCTAGAGACTTGTTGAGCGAGTAAAGAGAGTGCTCTACATCACTTGGTAAGATACGATGTAAACGACTGTCGCGTAGAACTCCGGTTAAGTCGCTGAAGCAGACATTCGAAAACACATCCAGAAACACAAGCGTCTCGTTCAAAAAGTTCGTTGTATTAGTTACGCCGCTTGTGTCTTTCGTGACGTCGCGGACAAAGATCAAAGTTGCGCAAATGACTACAGCGACGTTAGCATCGTGAATCTAACCCCATTGTCTCCTGTTCCGTATTTGAGAGCAGACAAACGATTAGTCAAGACCTTTTTAGTTCAGCCATCTCTTGCACAATGTCGTGAAATACACGAAGCTTAGAACGTGGTAGGTCGTTGATCGAGGAGTTCAAGCGATTATTGACGGTGACACGTACGATGAAGGAGTTCGAGAGATGCGCTGACATGGTCCATAGCGTCCTATCGTATTTGGATGGCGTCGCGAAATGCACAACAAAGTTTGACCTAAATAGCTGTCGATCGACTGCAATGAAGTCGCAGGAAGTGAGAGGTGCATTAGCGGCGCAAGCTGTCACGAGGGTGAGCGAACGGCAGTGCGGCGTCCCATCATCGCGCTAAGCCACCACGCGGGCGCGTTGCACCCAGCTAAAATCAAGTTACCCCGCCGCCGCATGGCTGTTACGGACGACTACGAAACGTGATGGGCAGAATCCTGACGTGATTTGACGAAAACAAGTAGAAGGAGATGAGGAGCTGGAAGGGAAGTGGGAAGATTGGCAGCTATCCAAGGTCGGGCGCGCGTTCGCGATGGGGACGTCATTGCCCGTGCACAGTTTCGAAGACACTCTCACCTGGGCAGTATGTGCGGATCTGACAAGATATTCGAATATGCGTTGCTTCATCTCTTCTCATGATTATAGATTTGTAAAATGCGAGACAGTCCAGTTACAACGTTTGGGTAATATTCATATGTAGTCTGCACTACCTTCCAAGGTTGGTACCCGCGAAATGCACATCACGTGGCTGACGTCATGACGCGCGCCTTACTTCTCGACGCTACCTAGGTATCTCCTCATGAAGCAGACTTACCACCTCTCAACACGTTCTTAGTAAGCTCAAAATTGAGTCCGCTTCTATCCTCCAACACGATGGCTTTACATCGTCTGGTCGTATGCCCCATGATGTCACGTGGCATATTCCTGAGCCCCCGGGGCCCATTTCAATTAGAACCCGAAATTGGTACTCCTTCGTTTGCCACGTCTCACGCCGTATGCATCTCCAGTGCTCGGTATGCTCGAATCGTCTCTCTGCGCATCTACATCAGAGCTTGTGAAGCGTCGAAAGAGTCTCCGTGCAAGACCAGGCCGCTTCTCTCTTTCCCGTTCCTGTTCCCTACTCCGCCCTCTTTGTTCGTGATGGATCACTTCGGGGACGCCCCCACCTCTATTTGCGTATGATTCTGTCATATCCGGTCCTTGTGGTTTATCACGAAGTCGACCGTGCACGCCTGCTCTACCAGAGCGCCAGGAATAGCTAGAGCCGATCGACTCGGTTGGAGAAGTTGAGCGTTTACCTGGTGACGCGAACATCCGCGTGGGAGCGGACCGGAAGAGCTTCGCCGGACGAGCATGTATCGTTGAGTGTCCTTGCGATGACGAGCCGGTCAAGCCAGTTGGAGGCAATGCTGTAGCCAAGTTGCTCAGATCGAGCGAGTGCAGACTCGAAGAGGTCGAACTGCGGATGAGGCCGTTTGTTGTCATGCTGTTGTCTACAGTATCTGCTGATGGTATTGTGTGAGGTCGATTTAAGCCAACTCTCTGGTTGCGGTCATCGCGATGGCTCTCCTCCGCACTCTCCTCGCCAGTGAAACTGGACGTGATCGTGTGGAATCCTATTTCTAGGTCGGGTACGAAGCTTTGCTGCCTACAGTCTGTCGAATTTGTTTCGGTCTGCGGGCGCGTTTGCCATTCTTGCGAAGACTGTCGCGACATCTGCGCTGCCAAGGAAGGTGTGCCAATGACTTGGAATTATAGAAAAGAACTCTGGGTGTTATTGCTAGCTCCCATTACTGTTGTGAAATTGAGTGATGCGATCAACACGTTGTATGGGCGGTGTGAATGAATTATACGGTCCATAGTACCGTTGCCGGAGCGATTACCCACATAGGCGATCGCCGGAAGACAATGAAACAGCTCTATCAGTGCTGCATTCGCAATGTGAGTAGGACAGTCTGGTCGAGTGTGTCAAGTGAAAGTAAATACAGATCTGATCCTTCAATGGTCTTGCCGTCTTTGATTGTCGCGCAAGAACGACACCAAACTAATGTCTTCATATTCCTTCCCCAGATGTACCCCAGGTTTCGATACACTGAATCTCACTCATCGACGAGCCCCAGCTTTCCGACCTTCTACTGTAAAAGTCCAACATGACAGAGCTCTTGGTCGGGATGGGAAAACATTCTCCCAAGATGTCGTGTCTGGGTTATCAGGAGGGCTCTAATATTTATCTGCCTCCCCCGGCATCTTCCTCGACAAAAGCGGGTAATAGCCTGAATGAGTCGCTTCATAATACAATAATGCGCTGGCGCTACATATGTTTGGGTGTGTGAATCTTAGAGTCTCTCGACGCGGGAACCGATTCGAGAGATGCGAATATCAAATTCGACCAGAATAATCGAGTTAGCATAGTCTAGACAGTAGTACGCGTTATTCTGGGACCCGAATCGAGACCCACATCTTAGCATCAAGGCCGCGAACGTTGAGATAAGGCCACTTGCTGGTAACACTAGTGGAAGGGCATACCCGTGCGCTGTTGAGATCGCAGCCTCTACGTCGAGTGTCGAGCAGACAACACCTAGGTACCTAGGTATGACAATGTTGGTAGGAGATATCATCGCATAAGTAACGGCAGGATCTGGAGCTATTGATGTATAGTGATGAAAATTCGAAGACGTACCCTGAGCCATTATAAAAGAAGCATATCTCACGCGGCGATTTGAGCGACGCCTTCTCAACATTGGCCTAAGTGACGATCAGCTCTCACACCTATTCTCACAAGACGCAGATTTGGAGACGAGACTATGGGCGACAAAGATGTTTGAATAAACCAAGACGTAGCAAAGAGCAATGCTGGCTGTGCTGTGTTCATATGACATTACATTATTCGTGTGGTAGGCCGACGCGTCGATGACGTCACGGCCCAAAATCTGTTTGATCGTCCATAGACGCGAGCTCCGCTACCTCTCCATCACCACGCCCCCTAGCTACCACCAACTACACCCGCGGCCATGGCGGCCGTTGAGTACGAGACTGCGCGGCGCTACGCTTCGGCTTCTGGGGCTCGAGACGAACCGCGCCCTACCACGAGCTGACGACGCGATGGGTAGCACCCGACACCTCCGCTCCATCCCGCACGCGCCGACCCGATGCAGCCGCACTGCAGACCCCGATGTATTCGGTTTTGGACACCTTTCGCCCACATATATACAAGAGGCTCAAGTCTAGTGGGGCTTGATGCCACCGGGCGGTGCCGGTTTGCTGGCGATGCGCTTATCCTGCTCTTCTTTGGGCAGCGTGTCCCATTCGGCGACGTTCTTGTCCTATGCGATGTCAGTAAAGATGCGTGTATAGAAGGTCGCTGGCAGACTTACCCATTCTGCTACACACTCAGGCTTCCAGTTACATTGCTCTACCTCGCCGTACATGGGGTGATTGCGGCGCGGGTGAAGTGTCGGCCATCCCGAAGCATGGTAGTGATGCTTGACCAAAGCCCCCCTTGAGTCATGGTTACCAGAGTCCGAGTGACCTTGGCCGGCTGCGAAAGCCTCCACGTTCAACACCAGGATGCCATTAACGAGCCTCGACTCTGCAAGGTTGTGGAAGAGGTCCCAGGTAACCGGCCTGCCTTGATTCTGTGCAGTCATCTGCTCCAGTACGGCCTTCGTGAACGCGGATGGACCCGTCCCGCTTATGACCTCGTCGAAGTCTAGCTGCAGCTCTGATATCTCGACTTCTTTCTGATGAGACAGCTCATGAAGCCACGCTTGTATGTTCTCCATGAGCCTCATCATGACTGGCAGTCTGGGCTTGGCGGCGAACGTCCATTGGCAAAAGGACTTGCACTTGCCACCAAGGATGGGGTGCTCAGCGAAGGTCGGCTCGTCAATCTCCACACCAATGATCATATCGACCTCCTCCTCAATGTACCGTTCGGGTATGAATCGATCGATAGGACGGAGACACTCCACATCTATGTCGGCATACACACCACCCTCAGCATACATGACGAGATAACGAAGCAAGTCAGCCTTGATGATCGTTATGTTAAGCTCTCGGTAAAGGTTGACAAGGTCTGGTCTGTTGATACCGTGAGCGCCGTAGTGGAATTCGAGATAATCGTTCGCGTTATCGTCGGTCAAAACCTCGTACCGATACCGGGGGTTCTTCGCCGGCCAGGTCTTCGCTGAATCCGAGTCGCGCTTCTCGAAGCCAAGAGGGCCGACCTTCCATGTCTGCCAAATCTTCCTCGGAATCACATCAGTTTTTAGCTGCAGTGGCTGTTGGTATCTGAGCTCGCGCCTGTAATTGTTGGCAGCCCGAATAGGTGTAGTAAAGAAGTGTGTGTTGGCGAAGAACAAGAAGATAAAAAGCAGGGCAAGATATGCAGGCAGGACCCTTCGAACTTGGCTTGTGAGCTTGCCCGAGAAGTGCGCTGCAATTGGGGAATGGGGAGCCATTGCAATATTGAGGTGAAGCTTGGGTGGAGGTGCCCTGGGTCGCGTGCGCATGCTGTGGTTATTACAAAAAAGCAGGCGACTATTTCGATCCTGAGTCTGAGAGATTAGCTTACTGACTATCTTTTCCAAGACCCTCCTGTCGTTTTCACATTCGGCCCTTGCGCCCACCAATCCCCGCCCAGCTCTACTTCCTCGGTACATCGGTACAAATGTTGAATGCAGGACCAGCCTCGTGACGGGAGTCCAATAGCGCATGTGCGTCGCATGGCTAAGGAGCCGCCTGCAGCGTTGCGGCGGCGATGTTGGGTCAAGACGCCTAGGCTAAAGCTTCTCTCGATGATCCTTGCAACATGGTCGGAGGCGTCGACACAAACGGTAGTATCCCCACTCAAGCCCCGCACCGGACGTCTCTCATCAGGAACGGTCCAACTGTATTGTCTATGATATCAAACTGTCTTGATTCGTGGGCTGTTGACTTCACAAGATGGTGCAACCTCGGATCCTTCTAGGGTATCATGCCAAGTTCATCATTCCCCGCTTGCATGATCGGCTCGACCTGGACGATCGCTTTATTAAACTTACCGTTGTGAACCACACATGCTGCCTCGGTTGAGGTAAGCTAAAGCCATAGCTCCCGTCAGAAAACTACGCGTTCTCTAGCCTCGCGCGGCACCCGCACCATTCGCTCCTGTACCAAGCGTTTGTGGGATTCTTAGAT